TTTGAATATACGAAGATCTTTTATCGTCTTTTTAACGTGAAAAGAAATAGAAACGTTTAAATAGTTGGTTTAGTTCGTTCGACGATGGACACGTAGCGCCATCTGTCAGATATTAAGGGAACATAATGTGCTCGATCGACGGTAACAAGTTATCATATTTCGAAGTTTTGAATTTTCTCCTCGAGTTATCTCCTCATCGTCGTCGTCGTAATTTAAGTTAATAACAAACTACTGATAGATAATCGAGGAAAACATAAAAATGATAAAAAAAGAATATATATATATATATAAAAAATAAAAGAATGCCAAAAAAAAAAAAAAAAAAAAATAAAACGACGAAAATGACGAAATAAAAACATAAGAATAGAAAAGAATAAATAAAAAAAAAAAGGCAAGGGGGGGGCGGGGAAAAAGAAAAAAAGGCACTTACCAAAAACTTTGAAGAAAAAATTGAACGAAAAGTTGTGGGTGATGACAAACAAAAGCTCGGTTGAAAAGGTAGTAAACAAGTGCGCATATAAAAAGTAGACACAAAATTCTGTAACAAAAAGAAAACGAGAAACAAGGTTGGCGCGAGTTGAAAAAGAAAAGAAAATGAAAAGAAAATGAAAAGAAAATGAAAAGAAAATGAGAAGAAGAGAAAAAGAAAAAGAAAAAGAAAAAGAAATGGAAAGAGAAAGAGAAGAAAAGAGAAAAAAAAGGAAAGAAAGATAATGAGAAAAAGGATAAAAAGATTAATCGAGAAGGATAAAATTATCGAATGGAATATCAAATATTACATGAGTTCTAACCTCAAACAAATGATCGGTCGGTATAAAAGGGTTTATTATCACGGGCTAAGAAGAAAATTTGCAAGGAAAAAGAAAACAGAAAATGGGGGAAAAAGAAAAAGAAGAAAAGAGAAGAAAAAATAAAAGATCGAAATCGGACGTGGTGGGGCGCGAGGGGTGGGAAGGGGATTAAGACAGAGGAAGAAGGATCGAGCAGAGGGGATAAATCGATTTCGAAAAACTCGATTTTGAAAGAATCGACACGTGGTGATTTAACCACGTTGGAACACGGAAGGATGTCGACGTACCGACCGATTCAAATCGAAACGTTCGAATTACGTACTATGGTAAAATGGCGCGAATGATTTCACTCGAAAAACGTGAGGCGTCTTTTTCTTGAAAAGTTTTGACGATATGTTCAAGAGTTTTTCTTCGTCGCGTACGAAATGGCGATGGGGGGTGGGGGCCGAGAGGGGGGCACAAAAAAAGATAGACGAGAACGAAGAATAGAGACGCGAAAAGAAATAAAAATGAAAAAAGAAGGGGAAACAAGAAAGAAAAAAAAAAATAAACAAAGGAAAGAAAGAAAAAAAAAGAGAAGAAAAGGAAAGAAAAGAAAAAAAAAGAAAAGAAAAGATTGAACATCGATGTCGTAAAGGAATATATTCGGAAACAGGAATGAGAGAGAGAAAGATAGAGTGAGAGAGAGAGAGTGAGAGAGAGAGAGAGAGAGAGAGAGAGAAATAAGAGAAAAAAGAGGGGGAAAGTAGTTTTGACATCTCGTAGGCGCGACGCGCACAAGAGACGCCACACGACGCAGGCGTCATCGTTATAGCGCACACAACCACTTGTGGATCAGAGGCATGGACCAAACTGTAAGAGAGACACACGACGTCGTGGATGAGACACTTGCTGCTGCTACTGCTGCTATCGCTGCTGTTGTTGTTGTTGTTGTTGTTGTTGTTGTTGTTGTTGTTATTGTTGTTATTGATACTACTACTACAACTATTAATAGAACTGATGGTTCTTTCGAATGAGTAAAAGAAATGGCGACGGCGACGACGACGACGACGACGACGACAACGATGACGACGACGACGACGGCGACGACGACGGCGACGACGACGACGACGACGACGATGACGATGACGATGACGATACGAAGACGACGACGAAGGACGACGACACAATCACAACACGAAAGAAAACGACGAATACGAAAACGATAAACGAAAGCGATTCGTGAGAGAGAAAGAGAGAGAAAGAGAGAGAGAGAATAAGAGGGAAGAAAAAAGAAAAAGAAAAGAAAAGAAAAGAAATGAAAATAATAGAATAGAAAAGAAAACGAGACAGTCGTTTTACGTCGAAATTCACGTCGTATCACGTCAAGGAGTGGTAAGGGAGGGGTAATGGGGGTGCCGGGGAAGGTGTAGTAGAAGGAGAGTAGAGTTGGGACGAGGAGTGAAGGGGCTTGTCGCGGTGTTCCCGTGTGCGTGAGTCCGCGCTGCTCCCGTGCCGCTTCGTAACGGCGGCAAAGAGCTGCCAAAACCGGATGATCCTTACCAATGAATTATTAAACAATAAAATACGATTATTCTTCTTCTCTCCTGCTTTTATCCTATTGTATCGCGATACACATTGAATAATACGGCCACGGAATTCACCGAAAATACTACGAGGAGACTTGCGGCGAGACGTTTCTCTCTCTCCGCGAAACAACTGCATGTATACATTAGCGATCGTTCTGCCACCTGGACGGCATATTAACGAACTAACAAGACGCTGTTCTCCCTATTTAGATACGCGCGCGATTTGAATTCGCGTCGCGACGCCCACTTAAGTAAATAACTTGGCTCGCTCGAATGATTCCTAGAATGGTTCGATAACTTTCTTCTTTGTTTTTTTTTTCCTTTTTTCTTTTTTTCTTTTTCTTTCTTTCTTTCTCCCCTCTTTTTTCTTTTTTGTTCGATTCGATTATAATCAAAACGAAAAGATATTATATTAATCGATTCGAAATAATAATTTATTGAATTTACAAGTAAAATTGGATTGTTTTTATCGAACGTATTAATTTGATTTTTTTTTTCTTTTTTATTTCGTTTTCCATTTTTCCTGGTTTCTTTTTCTTTTTTTTTTTGTTTTTATTCTTATTTCATTGTCATTAATTGGGATAATCAGGAAAGGTTTTGAATCCATTGACGAGATATTCGAAATATGTTAAAAATTCAGGCCAAGTACTGACGAATCCGTATGTAGTCCGGCTTCATCGGTGGCGCTATGAACGTGGGTGTATCAGACGCCACAGTGATGCGCATTTCTAGGAACCATTTAATTTCTTTCTCCTCCTCCTTCTCCTCCTCCTCTTCCTTCTCGTCTTTTTTTTTCTTCTTTTTTTTCTTTTACTTTATCATATACGTTACGATATAAAAATACGACACCGATAAAGGATTCTTCTCTCTCTCTCTCTCTCTCTCTCTCTCTCTCTCTCTCACTCTCTTTTTTCGTACGTAATATCGTCGCCTCTCATTTGCAATATAAAAATCAATTAACTGACAATCCCTGTAATTTGTTTCTTCTCGTTCAAAAGCAAAGAGGAAAGAATGAAAGAGGAACAGAAAAAAAAGAAGAAAGAAAAGAAGACAGCAAAAAAAATAAAAAGAATTAATATAAGAATGAGTTGCGTACCACTGATTCAGTAAAATTCTCCCGTCTGTTTGAAAGCTATCCGCACAATGAAATACCCCGTCCAATCCATATAAAAGAGAAACGAAGAGGAGTAGTATTAAAATTCTTGGCAAAAGAAGAAAATATATATATATATATATATATATATATATAACATATATATATATATATATAATATATATATATACACATAATGAATTATCTCGTAAAAACAGTAAAAACGACAACAACGAAGAAAACAAAAGCAAAAGGAAAAAATAAAGTAAAAAAAAAGAAAAAAAAAAGAAAAAAAATCTCTGAAAAATATGTTTACACAGAATTCATCCAATGATCGACTGAACAACCCCTTGATTATGAACGCACCTTTATGAAGAAAGTATACGGTAAAGTTGGGAGGATGGAACGGAGAGTAGAAAAGTGGGGATGAAAAAAGGGGAAAAAGAGAGAGAGAGAGAGAGAGAGAGAGAGAGAGATACATAGCGTGTAAAAGAAAAGGAGAGGGAGGCGAGGGTCGGTCGTCCCGAAGATGGCGTCGGCAGTGTGCGCGACGCTCCGCGTCGAGGACGAGAGACGAGGACGGTAGCGAATAAGAAAGATTCGATTTGTGTGTTTCGTGTATTTAAATAGTAGAATATATCGTGGTAGATCATCGTAATAGAAGAGGAATAATAAACGGAAGAAATCGAACGTATCGGGGGCACCCTCGGCTTTTAAACCTTGTACACGTTAAATGGGCCAATCCGGTGACGGCTTCGTCCTATTGCATATTCTCTCTTTATCATACACATAAATACATATACCTAACGTATATGTATATGTATATAGGCATATACAAAAATATATATATATATATACGTACGTATATAAATACACACACATATATATATATATATATATATATATATAACATATACAAATCAAGGTCTGTTCTACCCCATCTCGAGTGACAGGCGGCCGCTTACGTAACGGATTATTCTCGCTATGATAACGATACTCCAGGCGCGAATACGAAACGACAGAAACGATCCTTCGAACGACGGGTTATTCGCGGCGCTGCCTGCGACCCTGCCAGAAATACGTCGTGACTGACCCGAATAATCATCTCCTCCTCATCCTCCTCTTCCTCCATCTCCTACTCCTCTTCCTCTTCTTCTTCCTCCTCCACTCTTCCTATCCAATACTTCCACCTCGTTCCTTCTTTACGTAGTCCACGACGTCGACGGCGACTACATCTCGTCCACCTACTCTTGTTTCGATATATCTATATATATATTTATATATATATATATACATATATATATATATATGTATATGCATATGCATATATCGTTACCTGTGTGGCGTCTGTGAAAGCGTCCCGCCGGGATTCCTTCCTTTCGTTTACCGCAACGGTTATAGACCGACCTGCAAATATACGGAAAGGAAAGGAAATTATGACAGCTGCGCTCGTCATGGAAAACGTTAACTGGGATCCCGGTGAGTTGTCTGAAAAAATAACCCTATATCTCTCTATCTTTCTATCTCTCTCTCTCTCTTTCTCTCTTTCTCTTTATTTGTCTATCTTTCTCTTTCTCTTTCTCTATCTCTCATTGTCTCTTTCTCTGTGTGTTTTCATCCCTTTGAACGCACGAGTGACTCTATATATCTCCATCTCTCTCTCTCTCTCTCTCTCTCTCTCTCTCTTTCTTTCTCTCTCTTACACACACACACACATTCTTTCTCGTTTCGGTGTACTCGTGTATAAACGAAAAGAACAGTGTTAGATATATAGATGGATAAATAAATCTATATATATATATATATATATATATATAGTGTGTGTGTGTGTGTGTACATGTAAAACTATTCGTTCGTTGTGGCACAATGAAGTCTTTTACAAAAAAAAAAAAAAAAAAAAAAAAAAAGATAGTTAAAAGAAAGAGAGAAAGTAAACAACAACAACAACAACAACAACCGCAATAAGAAAAAAAAAAGATCTTTCACAAAATGTGTGACGTTAATTCATCGACCCGTATCCGTCGCCACGAAAATATATTGTCTGACGTAAACCGAGTGTTTTACTCTCTAATGTAGTTGCAATGTTCTCGCGTGCCAAAACGTCGCGTGGGTTCTTTTAAGATATACGCCGGATATAGATAGACACAGATATAAAACGTTCTAGAAAACCGATTACGTTGGTTTGTTCGTCTAATGTTTTCTCACCTTTTTTCCCCCCTCGCTTCTATCTCTTCTCCTTTTTCTTATTTTTTTTTTTTTCCTTTTTTTCATTTCTTTTCTTATTCTTCTTCCTTTCATTCGAATATAAATTCAATCTCGTTACGTTCTTCCTTTCAGCATTATCAAAACTTCTCAATTCTCTGAGGGAAAACAAATCGGAAATACCAAGCTGTACCGAGGAAGAGTTCGGCTTTCTCAGTGAGCTATTACAATCGAAGGAGTTGAACGCCTTGGTAACTGTTCACAATAAGATCTTAAACAATGTCAAGGACGATAAGTTCTTTCCTGTATTATCAAACTCGATGGACATTGATATCGAGGTGCTCGACTTATTGTCCACGAAAACTCACATCTCGGAAGAGTATAAAGAACTTTTTCATCTTTTGCAAAAACCACATATGCAGGTAAGATATTATTTATAATTATAAAGAGAATTATCAATACATTCGTATCTTTTTTTTGTTAACCCATTCCAATGACCAATTGCACGCCGTGTGTGCAATGCCTTTACGAGGCTATGAGATCGGTTGCACACCGGGGTGCAATAGTAATGATGGAAAAAAAAAAATTTGGATCCTGAGGACCGTATTCGAAAAAATTCGCGGTCTCGAATGGGTTAAGTAATATTTTTATATGTATATATATGTATGTATGTATGTATGTATGTATGTATGTATCTATATACAGGGTTTACTCTGTGCACACGATGCCGTTGCCCAAAAGGATTACTATCCCAGATTACCTGAGATTCCATTGGAAGTCGATGAGGATGAAGAGACAGTGAAGATCGTACAGCTGGTCAAGTCGAACGAGCCCCTGGTACGTCGGATCGATCTAACGATCGATAATTCAATTAGATTGCCCATACCTATTCCAATTGATTAACCTTGAAAACGAGAAAATGGCGGGAAGCTAATCGTTGATCGTCAATAATACCGTTATAAGACGCAAATAATAAAACTGATGTTAAGATCTGGATTGCGTCTATAATAGATTTGATTTGAGGGTCGAAGTTGATAGAAGAAAGGCTAAAGGATGGGGGGTGGGAAGGGGGAGGGGAGGGCGAGGTTATCGAGAAAATAATTAAAAAAAAAAAAAGAAAAAAAAAAAGAAGAGAAAAGCTTTAGGAACGTTGAAAAAATAATTTTTAAATACACCTAACTAAACGCGTATTGTCCTAACACTATTATCTCGCGTTATTTTTAATTATCATTTACTTGCATGCGATCTTTTTGATGACATCGTCGTAATATCCTTCTTTTTCTTCCTTTCTCTCTTTCACTCTTTCTCTCTCTTTCTCTCTCTTTCTCTCTCTCTATCTATCTATCTATCTATCTATCTATCTATCTATCTATCTATCTATCTATCTATCTATCTATCTATCTATCTATCTATCTATCTCTTTTTTCAAATTACCGTTCTTCGGTAGAATAATACCGAAAGACGAAAGAAAATAAACCAATGTCTACTAATTTCTAAAGCATAACGAATGTTCCTCCCTCGTGTCGTTTGCGCTTGTTCGGTGACAACCAAAAAAACAAAACTATAAAAAAAAAAAAAAAAAAAGAAAAAAAAGACAAACAAAACAAAACAAACAAAAAAACAAAAGAAAAATTCTTCTCTCAAGTAATCACGTATTTCTTTCATCGTCAAACTTGCTTCGAAGTGCGGCGCCGGGGTCGAACCGATCGTGGTAAGTTTGCCTTTTGACTACCCGTAGAGATAGATAAGAAAAAAAAAAAAAAAAAAGAAAGAAAGAAAACATATATATATATATATATATATATATATATATATATATATACATATATCCTACGGGTATGATAAA